TGAATTTCTTCTTGTGATGAATTCAGTTCTTCCCATTTTGTCACTGTGGTCATGTTCCAGAGACACTGGCTGGGGGATTAGACTGCATTCCAGCCCATTACACTCTGACAGCCTGACTCCTCACCTTTTATCTCCTGTTTGGTCATTCACTTGTTATTCAGTTAACAAAACGTGGACTACCTACTCTATGCTGGGGCTGTGACCCTCACATTGCTCGGAATCTACCAGAGGAAACATCTACATAAATAACTGCAATGTTGTGCAAAAACAGGGGTGTATTAGTCTGTTTCTGTTGCTTATAACAAAATACACTGAACTGAATAATTTATAAAGGAAACACAATTTATTGCTTACAGTTTTGGAGGCTAGGAAGTTCAAAGTCCAGGGAGCACATCTGGAAAGGGTCTTTGTGGTGGCGACAGTGACCCAAGGGTCACAAATTGCAGAGCAGAGAGAGACTCACCTCTCATGTGCTCTTTTATTTTTTTATTTTTTTCCTTTTTTTTTGTCTTTTTTTTTTTTCGTGTCCGGCAACGGGCCACAACCCTCAGTGTCGTGCCCGTACCGGACCGGGACCGGCAATGGGATCGCAACCCTCGGTGCTGCGCCCGCCCCTCACTCAGCCAGTGAGCGGGAACCGGTCTGTATGTGGGATCCGAACCCTCAGCGGGAGCGCCACCGCGCTCCCAAGTGGCGCACTGTAGCAGTGCGCCACCGGGTCGGCCCTCATGTGCTCTCTTAAAACCCTCAGAATCACACCCCTGACCACCATTATTAATCCATTCACTATGGCATGGTCCTACAATATAATCACCTCTTCAAGGCCCCACCTTTCAATTACCATAATAGGACTTCTCACCCTCTTTATACTGTCACAGTGGAGACTAAGTTTTGGGGGGATGTTCAACCCAATGCAAGGGGTATATATGTTCATACATATGTATGTTGTGGTCCTGAGGAGGAGGTGATCACCTCTGCCTGGGTGGAAGCAAAAGGGGATCAGGGAAAACTTCACAAGATGAAGGATGCTTGAACTGGGTTTTGAAGGCTGATTAGGAGTTCTCAGGGAATAGGGAATGTTTTTTAAGGAAGAGAGAACATCCATGTGCAAATCTATAAAGGCAAGAAAGAGTATGGTCATATTCAGAATTACAAGTAGATGTGAGGTTTTGTACAGGGAATGGGGGGAACTGGCTAGAGAGGTAAGCAGGAGCCAGATCTGGGACAGTCTTTTGTGCTTTGCAAAAATTTTAGAACTTAACAATCCTGTATAAGACTGGAAAATTTACAGAGAGGGAAGTCATGATCAGAATTGCACTTTAGGAGGACAGGGAATGAAGAAAGTCCCTCTGGCATGGTGTGATACAGGGAGTCAGTTCACCTATTGTAATAGCCAAGATGAGAAAACAAAAGCCTGAACTAAGGCAGGAGCAGCAGGGGTGAAGAAGACAGAGCACAAGTGAGGAGATTTAAGAGATGGAGTTATCAGGATTCAGTAATCTATTGGCTGTGAAAGAGGACAAAGAAATGAGAACTCCCATATCTCTTAGGCTTGGACACCAGGCTCTGAAGGCTGACCAGGAATTTCCAAGGCCAACCTAGTTTCCCAAACCTATGCCCCAGCATGGTAGGATGGGGAAGGGGTTCCTATCCCCCTGTTATTGAAATGCTGTGCATCTTGGATGAAATACTCCCCCCCATTTATTTTTATGTTTATTCTTTGTTCATGTTGGGCCATTTTAAGGGAAGAGAAGAAAGGCAAACTGATTGGGTAGCCAGTGTTCAGTAAGTGCCTGCTACCATGTCAAAGGAATGGCATGGGTCTGTGAAAAGAAGTATGTACTCTTGAGAATTTAAACTTTATGAGCGCCTGCTGGCGCTGTTGGAACTGTGCTATTCGGTCTGACAATGTATACTTTATGGGAAATACATGATTCCTGCTCTCCTGGTTTTTAAAGAGAAAGCTGGGAAAGTAATACTGTATTTATCGTGATAGGCTAGGCTATACTGTAGTAACAAACCCCCAAATGTCAGACTGAACATGACAAAAGTTGCCTGCTGGCGCTGTTGGAACTGTGCTATTTGGTCTGACAATGTATACTTTATGGGAAATACATGATTCCTGCTCTCCTGGTTTTTAAAGAGAAAGCTGGGCAAGTAATACTGTATTTATCATGATAGGCTAGGCTATACTGTAGTAACAAACCCCCAAATGTCAGACTGAACATGACAAAAGTTTATTTTTTTGCTTGCAAAGTCCTCTGGAGGTTGGTCAGCCTTCCTCCAACCTGTGGCTACATCATCTAGAACATGTGGCCTGCAGGTTGCTTGGGGTGTGGGGAGGGGGAGGGAGATAACGTTTTTCAGGATAGGCCTGGAAGCTTACTCACTCTTTCCCATATCTGCCACATTTAGTCATGTGGCTCCAACCTAACTGTGAGGAAGGTCAAGAAATGTAGTCTTCCTATGTACTCTGGAAGAGGAAATAAAGTAGTGAATAAATAATAGTGTCTCTGCCACACCAGCAAATTGGCAAAGTATCTGGAATAATAACAAATGTCATCTCATTTGTTGAGAGCTATTAGTACTGGACAACACATGTTCAAACCTAATAGAATGATACCTTCAGTCTTTAGCTTCCAAGGTTCATTGTTAAGTGATTTTGATGAACGACAACCAGGCCTCTAGAGATAGTTCAGTCACCTGTGAATTTATCTTGAGAAAGTAAATATTAGCTCAGACAGAAAGTAAAAATCTGCCATTCATCACAGATAAACAGACACAGATGAAACCAACTGCAAAGTTAACAGGAAATATTTCGCCCAAGCACCCACTGCAACTTAAAATATCATAACAACTCCCTTCTGTGAGTAAGTATATTTTTAAACCATTACTGAGAAACTTTGTTCTCTCAAATCATAGGCTGACAAAGTTTTCCTGTTTAAAACTATATCTGAGAATGAAGCCTCACAGTCTTGCTTGGAGGAGCTAAGCCACTTTGACATGGAGAAGCGACCTGGATTTCTATACCCCAGGTATAGAGCTTCAGAGCACAGGTTTCTGAACACAATATTCCACATTTATCTTAACTTTGTACTATCTGGGAGAACTGATCTCCTGGGTCCACTTTGCAGCCCAGAGCTGATGTTGACCCTGTTTTTACACATCTTTGTTTCTTTGAGCCTATCAAACTGTATTTCATTTAAATGTCACCTAACCTCCCCCTTCCCCATAATCCTATAATAACCATCTTTTCCTTCGTTTGGTGTGACACCCTACTGTTCCTCTGGTGTGCAGTCTCCCTTATTGCAGTGAGTCAATAAGCCTGACTTTGTTGGACGATAGGTTTGCCCCTGGTGAGCTTAGATCGATTGAATTAGGGTAGTCTCAAAACTTGCTTTGGACTCTACACTTACTTGTGAGTATAAATTCTATTAATTTGCTTTTTGCTACTCTTTTCTACTAATTTACTTTTTGCAATGTAACATGTATAACAAACTGTACTTTTAAATTCAAAGAGTAATACTATATGAATGGCTAGGAAGCACATGAAAAGATGCTCAACATTATTAGTCATTAGGGAAATACAATCAAAACCACTTCACACCCAGTAGGATGGCGATAGCTATAGCCAAAAAGAAATAACACATTTAGTGATGATGTGGAGAAGTTGAACCCTCATACATTGCTGGTGGGAATGTAAAATGATGCAACCATTTTGCAAAATCGTCTGGCAGTTATTCAAAAGGCTAGACAGACAGTTATAATATGACCCAGAAATTCTACTCCTAGGTATGTACCCAAGAGAAATGAAAACATTTCCACACAGCAATGTGTACATGAATGTTCATAGCACCATTATAAATAATAGTTGAAAGTGGAATGGATAAATGAAATATGGTATGTTCACAGAGTGAAATATCATGGTAATAAAAAAGAATGAAATACTTATATATGCTACAACATGGACGAACCTGAACCCTGAAAACATGACGCTAAGTGAAAGAAACCAGTCACAAAGGACCACATAGTGTATGATTCCGTTCATATGCAATGTCCAGAAGAGACAAACCTATAGAGACAGAAATAAATTGGTGGTTGCCTAAGCTGCAGGAATTGGGGGGGGTAAAAAAGGAGTGGCTACCGATGTGTGCAGGTCTTCTTTGGGGGATGGTGAAAATGTAAAATCGATTGTGGTGACTCTAAATCTACTAAAAACCATTGTATACTTTAAATTGGTGACCTGTATGATATGTGAACTATGTCAATAATGCAGTTATTTTAAAAAACAAGAACAGTGTTGGGCACAGGAATTACAGTCCTGCTCTCAAAGAATTTAGTATCGTGGCAGACCAATATTTTGATATGAAAAAGGTAAATGCTAAGGTACAGGCATGCATGAAGGCCACAGAGTAAGGCATTTGAACCCAAATAGAGAATTTGGAGGTATCTTCCTCAAGTGGAAAATAATGCCTGGGCTGAATCTTGAAGGAAGAAAAAAATTAGCGAGGTGAAATGAGGTTGAACATAGGTCATAGGAGCAATCTGGTGTTTTTAATCTGCAAAGTACAAGGAGAAGAGTGCTGGGCCTATCATAAGTAGCTTGGGTAATAAACAATAAAAAAATTCATAAGTGAACTACTACTAAAAATTCGAAGGGGTGTAAGAGGGTCTCCGTGAGGAGGTGATAGCTGAACTGGGTCTTGAAGCATGATAAAGATTTCACCAGTGAGACAGTGAAGGATACTCCAAACAGAGAGAAGCAAAGAGGTGATAAAGAGCTTGTACTCAGGGTACAGTAAGTAATTCTCTCCCAGGGGAGTGTAGCATCAGGACATGAGACTAGAAAAATGAGTAGATCTGAGATGATGGAGGTTCTACTATGATAGTTAACATAAAAGCAATGCCCGTATGACTCTGTGTCCATTATCCCATTTAATCCTCACTAGGCCCTGGGGTCTTCCCCCTCACCTCCAAGCTGATCCGTGCACACCCCACAGCTGCCCCACCTGAGACCAACGTCCCCCAGAGACCCATGCCCGAGGGACTTCCTGCCCTGGCCCCCACCTGTCTCTGCCACCCCCACCACCTCACACCACTATGAGACGCTGGACAAGGATGCAGCAGAGGTCAGCAGCACTGCTGACAGATGGGATGATGAAGACTGGGACAGCCCGGAGCAGGAGGCCAAGTCTGTGTTGACCCAGCAGGACGACTGGAGCGCCGGGGGTCAAGCAAGCCGTGCTGGGCAGGTCAGCAACCCAGACCACAAATCCCTAGAGTCCGACTGGAGTAGCTCGGAAGCTGAGGGCTCTTGGGAGCAGGGCTGGCAGGAGCCAAGCTCCCCAGAGCCGCCCCCTGAGAGCATGAGGCTGGCCAGCGAGTGTAACCGGGGTGGCCCGGAGCCCAACAAGGCAACACTTTTGCTGCCCTATCCGCACGTCCCAGCGCACAGCTGAGGCCGGAGGTGTGGGACGAGGACAAGTAGGAGTCTGGAGACTGAGAGATGGCAGGTGCTGCAGGGAAAAAGCGCGAGGAGCGGAGAAGGGAGAAGGCAGCCAAGGGCTTCATGAAGCTGGGAGCCCGGAGGCTGGACTGAACCAGCGTGTCCGGGCTTCTCCTTGGCGCAGAGCAGGCCCTCGTACAAACCACGGGAAAACACACACACACACACACACACACACACACACACACACACACACGAGAGCAGGCCCTCGTACAAACCATGGGAACACACACACACACACACACTCCTCTCAAGGCCATTCTACAGGTAAGGAAACAAATATAGAAAGGTAAAGAAATTTGCCCAAGGTTACATTAGTAAATGGAACAACCAGGGTTTGAATCCACCCACTCTAACTCCAGAGGCCACAAGCTTAAACTGTCCTGCTTCGGGACACTGTCCTGCTTCTCTGCCTAACACACCAAGCCCTTTGGACTTAATCTCACCAGCATGCGGAGCCACTACAGTTTTTCAGCAACTGCCACTTCTGTTTCTTCTCCATCTTCCCCTAATGGCCTTCGGTTTTCCCTTTTGGGAGAGCAGAGAGAAAAATCAAGAGGGGAGTTTGGCTCCACAAGTTTCGTCTGATCATTCTCCCTCTCCCGAAAGGCCTGTGACTCATGTGAATCTGTCCTGAGCCATCTCTTGCATTTAGGGGCTTAGTCACTATGACTACTGCTGCTATCTACATAAGACTTTATGACTTTAGAGATCCAAGGGCTCATTTTGTGTTTTCAGCCTTCTCATGTTGGTAATGAAGTAGTAGCATCCTTAATGATAGATAGGAAAGAAGACTTTCAGAGGGACTAAATGATTGGACAAGTCACTTCGCTGGCGGCGGTTTGTTCACCTGTAAAATGAGGCGGTTGAACTGCGTATTCCTTTGCAACAACAACAAAACATTTATCACTCTGGATCTTCCCAGAGTTAGGGAACAATTTGGAAGCAAAATGAGTTCCATAACTCAGACGTATCTCTACTATATCATAGCAGGAAATAAAAGCCGGGGCTCTCCAGGCAACCGGATGGGACCGAGCCCCCCATCACTCCGCCTTGTCCGCTTTCTACGCAAGGGCAAGAAAGGAGCAAGTCCCGAGCGGCAGCGGAACGGACTTTGCGGGCGGTGGGGACGTGTTTTTGGAATGGACCCGGGAAAGGAAGTGTGCTACGCCACCAAGAGTCCCTCCTCCCGGCTGCTGCGGGGACGCGGCGGGGTCAGTCGCGGTTGGGCTGCTCCGGACGGGTCTGAGCCTTTGGGTCTGTGGTGACGGGCAGAGGTGGCCACAGGGTCCGGACCTGCTTGTTCCGGCGGTGGATGCGACAGACTGACCTTGGTCGCTGTTATTTGTAGCTTGCAGCCCAGGGTCGGAGCCGATGGCGGCTTGGGCGAGCAGGGCCGCTGCCCGAGGCTTGCGGGCGCGAGACCCCGGGGTCCGGACAGTTACTCCGCGCGCTCCCCTTCCCTCCCAGCCCGAGCCACCCGGCCGCGGCCCCGCTCCGGGCAGAGCACTGCACCTCTCCGCAGCGGCCCCCGCCGGGCACAACAAGTGGTCTAAAGTCCGCCATATCAAGGGTCCCAAGGACATCGAGAAGAGTCGTATCTTTGCCAAACTCTGTCTGAACATCCGCCTAGCGGTTAAAGGTGAGAACATGACGATCACCCACCGCTGGCCGCCGCTGTTCTCTCCGTGCCCCAGGCCTCGCTTGCCTCACGTGGAGCTGTGCCGGGGGTCGTGGTGGGCCCACCCTGACTCTTCGGCTCTTCGTTTTCTTTTCATTCCCCAGTTCCCACCGTTGCTTATCTCATAAAAACCCTCAAAACATCTACCTACGTGAGTTGTCCCCACTCACCTTTCCAGACGCTTAGCGTCTGCCAGCTTGTCAGAGAGGGAGCTGTTCTTGAGAAGATAAGATGGTAAAAGTGACTTCATTCAACTTCTTATCTGGGTACATAATAGAAAGAGATCCTAAGAGGTCAGATGTGTGTCTCTTCTGAAAAGACAAACCAAGATCTCTACAGTTGCCCCTGGTAGCATATAGGTGACCTAGGCCCCAGTTTGCTTCATTTGGGTTTCCTGAGACACATTTCCTTCGAAAGTAGGTTTGAACCATGTCTTTTCTCAGTTTTGTAGCCACCCTAAAAAGGTTTGTGTTTTTTTGTTTTTGGGGTTTTGTTTTGTTTTGTTTTTTGCATTTAGTGTGAGCCACCTGTAGGAGTGGCGAAAAAATTCTGTAAAAACCATGGACTTTGGAGTCAGGAAGACTTGGTTTCTGTCACTGACTAACTAATGACCTTGAGCAAGTGGCTTAACTGCTAAGTTTCCATTTCCTTTTCTGTGAAACAGTGGTAATGCCCACCTTGAGGTAGTTTACAGAACATATAGCACTTGGTTAATGTTAATTTACCCGTACAACTCATGTCTGATATTTCTCTTTGCTTCCTTTTCTTCTGAATTCTTGATATTAAGTTCAATCACCACTACTGAGTGTTTATTTTGTGTCAGGCACTGATAATTCAAAGATGAGATACAGTCCCTATCCTTAGAGATAGTGAGCGTGATTGCAGTGTCACGTGAGCATTTCAATAATTATGCTCAAAGTAGTAGAGCAAGAGCAAAGGACATATTTTTTTTTCCTAAAAGATGACCGGTAAGGGGATCTTAATCCTTGACTTGGTGTTGTCAGCACCATGCTCACCCAGTGAGCTAACCAGCCATCCTTATATGGGATTCGAACCCGTGGCCTTGGTGTTATTAGCACCACACTCTCCCGAGTGAGCCACAGGCTGGCCCCAAGAGCAAAGGATATTAATAAGTCAAGGATGTTGGTACCATCTGTGTTCCTTACCTCTTCATGCCACGCAAAGTGATGTTTGCTGAAACCTAGCAGTGATACCCATCCCTAAAGACAGGGATTGGAAACCTCTTTTCCAAAATACTTCTCCATATCCCATTCAAACACTAGACAAAGTGTTCTAATGGAGAACAAAGTGTTAACCGGCCACTGTTGCTGTAGACTGAATGCCTACACGCCCAACCTCACCGAAGCTTAATCCCCACTGTAACTGTTGAGAGTGGGAAATCCTATTAATAATTGAAATGTGGGGCCTTGAAGGGGTGATTAGATTGTAAGGACCATGCCCCTGTTCATGGGTGTGGCTCTCAGTGCTTTAAAACGAGAGCATGTTAGGGAGAGCATGTTAGGGCTGGCCCGTGGCTCACTTGGAAGAGTGTGGTGCTGATAGCACCAAGGCTGCAGGTTCGGATCCCTATATAGCAATGGCCAGTTGGCTCACTTGGGAGAGCGTGGTGCTGACAACACCAAGCCAAGGGTTAAGATCCCCTTACCGGTCATCTTTTAAAAAAAAAAACAAGAAAACGAGAGCATGTGAGAGTCTCTCTTTATCTCTCTGCTCTACCATTCTGCCATGTGAGACCCCTACATTACCGTCACCACCAAGGCCTTCACCAGATGTGCTCCCTGGACTTTGTACTTTCCAGCCTCCAAAACTTTAAGCAATAAATTTCATTTTCTTACAAATTATACAGTTTCAGGTATTTATGTTATAAGGAACAGAAATGGACCAATTTAACTATTTTGGCTAAGGGGAATGGGCTGGGAAGTCCCTTTTTTCTCCCATGCTGTAATGAGATGGGTAAGGAAACAGTTCAAGACTGTTTTCACTTAGCTCACTCTTTTTTCTTTATCCAGAGGGAGGCCCCAACCCTGAGCTCAACAGCAGCCTGGCCAACATCTTAGAGGTGTGTCGCAGCAAGCACATGCCCAAATCAACGATTAACACAGCACTGAAAATGGAGGTGTGTCCTCAGTTTGACATTTTTGTTATTGATTACAGCCCCCACAGGTCCATGTCTGGAAGCCTGCTGAACACTTCTTAAATCATCAGAGAGAATGGTAGTATTGTGGTTAACATCCTCAACTGAGAGGCATCTAGGGGCTGTCTGTCCTTGGCCATTGGTTGTAGGAACACAATCGGGAATAGGATGGATAGACAGTGTATAGAACCATACAGCCGAGGACTGCTCAGTTGAGTTGTGAAGAGATGGAGTAGAAGAAGGGGCACAATGTGGGGAAAGCCCTGATATTAGGTTGAGGAATGGTTTGTTTTTCCTTTTCAGATGTTTATGCCCTAAAGAAGAAAAGCTAGTTCAAAGAGGTGGGGGTGATAATGACTATGGGAAGCGTAGTGATGTGGAGCTCAGGTGAGGGAACATCTTTTCTTCCGGGGCAAGTGGGAAGGATCTGAGGAATAATAACAGTAACAACTAATAGTTGTTGAGTGCTTACATAAGGCTAAGTACTTTGGTAAGAATTCTTCTGTAGTGATGTGGAGCTCAGGTGAGGGAACATCTTTTCTTCCGGGGCAAGTGGGAAGGATCTGAGGAATAATAATAGTAACAACTAATAGTTGTTGAGTGCTTACATAAGGCTAAGTACTTTGGTAAGAATTCTTCTGTATGCGTTATCTCAATGAGTCTTCAAAACAACCTTAAGTGGAAACTGAAGCACTGAAAGGTTGGGTGACTTGACTCAAGTCGCACAGGAAATGACAAACTTGAAACCAGACAGACTCCAGAGCCTGTGCTCTAGCCATTATATGTACTACCTTCCTGTAGGCCATGGTGCAGATAAAGTGGTGGACACAGGATTTTTCCCCCACCCAGTAACCCTTTATTTTCTTTGTGAAAGAGGAAGGGAAAGGTTATCTCTTGAGAATTCCTGGAAAGGTGCAGAGCAAGGTACTCAGGGACAGTAGTGAAGATCAAATGCGTGGACAAGGGATGAGTAGAAGTGTGTGTGGGGGGGCGGGGGACAGATGAAATTGGTCATTAGAGGTTTGGATTGTTTGTTTGAATTTTGAGACTATGCTGTTTTCAGCGGCTCCTATGACAATGCTCAGATGTATGTTTTTTCTGCAGCAGTACTCAGCAGCCCAGAGGTAGGAGCATTGAGACGTCACAAGTGGGTTTCATGTGGAATGGGGTATAAGAGGATGAGTCTTGGTAGGATTGACTAGGCGATAGATATGGGATTTGGCAGGGGAGGGGAAGGGAATAAGCAAAACTGGGAGGTGGCTGATTGTGGACAAACAGATTCCCTTCTAAGTAAGGGTAGTATTTTTATTTTCTTATAGTTTTAAAAAATTTTTTTATTTAAAAATTTTTTTTGGCAACTGGCTGGCACAAGGATCGAACCCTGGACCTTGGTGCTATCAGCACCACACTCTAACCAACTGAGCTATCTGGCCAGCCTGATAGTACTTTTTAATTACCTCAAAAGTTGGTCCCAAGGGCTTATTCTCAGAGGGTGGGGAGAAAAATAAAGACTTGAGAGGCCAGGCTCCATCCTAGAAATCCCATCCCATGGAGTCAACTTCGTGGTGCCTGTGGTTCTGGGCTGGCATGTGGGAGGGAATTGTGAAACAGGAAAATGCACTTGTGTTGTTTATTGCAGAAAACTAAGGACATTTATTTGCTGTATGGGGTTCGAGGTCCTGGTGGCTCTTCTCTGCTCATTGAAGCGTTATCTAACAGTGGCTCCAAGTGCCAATCAGACATAAGGCATATTCTGAACAAGAATGGGTAGGTGTGTGTCTGTGGGGAGCGGGAGGGGATGGAACCTTTAGATTCCAATTCTGTGCAAGGCAAATACTGTTGATCCCTGATGGTGTTTCAAGTATTAAACACACTTCCTTCTTAGCAGAATCCAATGGGATAATTGAATTTCCCTTAATGTGTTCTGTACTAGGCAGGATCAAAAAGAGATGTTCATCATGTGAAGAAGGGAATCTTTGTTCCATCTGTAGCCACGTAATGCCCAGGTCTTAAAATGTTCCACCAGGACTGGAGTCTTAATGACATAGGAAATAATGGGTGAAGTCTTTGCATCCTCCCAGCTCTAATCAGAGCAGATTATAGAGGGTGGGGATATTCTTGGACTGTTCCCTTACCCAGCAGCAGCTGCATCTTCTCTTTCAGGAAGAGAGCTGCTCCATGTCTGTGTATATTCCATAGGATGGGTAGGAAAGGGAGAGTGTTAGAAAGCTGTATTTTATGGAGGCTGAGTGTATAAAGTCATTCACTCACTCTGACCCATTTCCTTCTTTGTCAGGGGAGTGATGGCTGAAGGAGCTCGTCACTCCTTTGACAAAAAGGGGGTGGTTGTGGTTGGAGTGGAGGACAGAGAGAAGAAAGCTGTGAACCTAGAGCGTGCCCTGGAGTTGGCAATTGAAGCAGGAGCTGAGGATGTCAAGGAAACTGAAGACGAAGAAGAAAAGAGCATTTTTAAAGTGAGTATGTTTGGATCCCTGTACTGGCCAGCTGCCAATAAAATAAAAAATAAGAAAACTTAAAGTGAGTATGGAGCCTTTCTGTTTGGTGGCTTCCAGAAAGGTCCTAACGGATGCCTTACAGCATGCCTCTCTCGGTTCCTTCCTTCCTGTGCCCGGGGTACAGGTGAGACAAAGAGTTCACATCTTGCACCAACACTTATTAAGTGCATACTGGATAGGGCCTACTATACTGAGGACTTGAGTAGGATTCAGAACATTGAGAACTGTCTCTGCCAGTGAAGAGCTTAAACCCAGTGATACAGCAATTCCATTTAGGACTTTGCAAAGTTCTTTCTGGCCTTGTCTTATCTCCCAGCTTCTCACCTCTTGACTTTCCTTTATTCCTAGTTTATTTGTGATGCCTCTTCACTGCATCAAGTGAGGAAGAAGCTGGACTCCCTGGGCTTGTGTTCTGTGTCCTGTACACTAGAGTTCATCCCCAACTCAAAGGTGCAGCTGGCTGACCCTGACCTGGAGCAGGCTGCTCATCTCATCCAGGTTCTCAGCAACCACCAGGATGTGATTCACGTCTATGACAACATCGAGTAACCAGTCTGTATGTGCGCCTGGCCTTCTTCCTAGGCAAGTGGCTGCCATTCTGGAGCACAGGCTTCTGCAGCAATCTCTGAGACTGCAGCAGTGGGAGGCCTAGCAGGTTAGGATGCCTAAGGCTGGGACTTGTGACCTTGAGGCCAAGGGAATCCCACACTTCTGTAGGACCTCTTTGTTGGCTCTGCTGGTGTGTCAGAGCCCACCTGGATGAGTCTCCCAACACCCTCCTGGGTCTGGTCAGACTATGACCTTAGGTAGTTGGCCTTTGTGGGGATTGTAAGTGCTGTGAGGCCCTATGTACAAGAAACTGCTCTTAAATAATAACAGTGATTGAACTTGGTTGCTGCATTGCTGTTGTATGGCTCTTGAGTTTTCCTGAGTTTGTATTCAACTGTTGGGACCCTCTGGACTAACTTTCAAGTCCATAGGCTTATTCCTACTACTCCAATCCCAGGACTGTTGTTTATTTTTTTGACTGGGCATAGAAATGTAGCTGCATCCAGGCACTCTGTGGTCTAATGCTGGTCTAATGGCCATAACCTGTCATTCATTCATGCAACTAATATTTCTCTAACACCTGTGTACCGGGAAGTATGTTTTTCTAGAGCACAACCTGTTCAACTGGTGCCTTGTATTAGATCCTGCTCTAAAACATAAGACCTCAAAGGGAAGACACAGGACTGCTCTGTACTGGAGCTGCCCCAGAGCAGTGTGAGCTACTGTGCACACATCTTTGTTCTCTTTGTGTGGCCTCTGTGCCCTTCTTTCACCACAGAGCTTAAGGCTGTAGCCCAATAGGAAGTCAAGTGCCAATGATAAGGGACTCCTCAGGCCCTGCTTTGCCTGGGCCCCTGTGTGTTCTGAGATTGGTCAGAGTGGACCTATTAGCAGATTGGGCTGCTCTCAGGAAAGGCTACACCAAACTGCTTGGTCCCCAGAATGCCCAACCCTAGCTCCTTTTCATCTCTGATGCCAAATGAAGGGGCACTGGGAACTGGAGAGGAAACAGGAACAGAAGGAGGTGTGAGGGACTCAGTTAGGATCCTGGCTAGTGGGAAATAGGGCCGTTGGTATGTTTTGCTCCTAATAGTCAGTTCTGGGTTTAGAAAGGCCAGGAGGGCCAACCACCTGTGCCAGAGCCTGTCAAGAATGTCCGGCCTGAAGTGGCTTTTCGATCCCCATTATCCACCTACTTATAAGTTGTTTATGCCAGTCCTGAGCTCAGTGTAATTTTCCAAAAGGAGCCTCAGGTAATTAAGGATGGAAAAGAACTAAAAACCAAATAGACTATAAATGATAACTTCATCTTCTCAGAAAAGCAGATTACTAATTCTACAATGATTTCAACAGCTGGAGAGCAAGGGCTAGGGGGAAGAAAACCAATGAAATAACCCATGATCATGCCAAAGAATTTTCTCTTATATACTTCATTTCATAATTTTAAAACGAACTGGTATTCTTCAGTTTTATAGGAAACAGCTTTTCCAAGTATCTGAATAGCACATCATTAAAATAGCTCAACCTAAAGTTTATATGCTGCTTCATAATTTATAAGATACTTTCATATGTTATTTATTTGATTTTCCCACCAAGCCTATTATATAGTCCAAGTATTTATGCACAGATGATCTTATACCAAGCAGGTGAGACCAGGTCTTGTGCTGCATCTTATATATACATATATATATATATTGCCCCCCCCCAAAAAAAAAAGATGACCGGTGAGGGGATCTTAACCCTTGACTTGGTGTTTTCAGCACCACACTCACCCAGTGAGCTAACCGGCCATCCCTATATGGGATCCAAACCCGTGGCCTTTGTGTTATCAGCACCACGCTCGCCTGAGTGAGCCATGGGCTGGCTTGCTGCATCTTATATATACATATATATATATATTGCCCCCCCCCAAAAAAAAAAGATGACCGGTGAGGGGATCTTAACCCTTGACTTGGTGTTTTCAGCACCACACTCACCCAGTGAGCTAACCGGCCATCCCTATATGGGATCCAAACCCGTGGCCTTTGTGTTATCAGCACCACACTCTCCTGAGTGAGCCATGGGCTGGCTTGCTGCATCTTATATTGATAGGCCTTGGTTTATAAAATAGCCCTGTTTTGGAAATGTTGAATATAAGTTAATTTGGAGGAATCTGATCATTTCTAATCTGAGAAATCTGTACTAAGGGAGCCCACCGTTAAAGGGAACTTGGCTACTCATGTGAATAGACGTCCTCTAATAGATAGAACTTATTATTATGGATTGTTGCATAACCAATTTTCTTACATCAAGCCATTCTTGCAGTACCACACACTAATAGCTCCTGTGAAGACAGCTCTGCACTGACCCCTGGTGGTGCTCTGCAGTTAATAGGGAAAGGGTGAAATGAACCTTTACTCAAACCTGTTGTGCTGCCTCCAGATATGGTAAAGAGACCTTGAGCTAGTTAAATAAGATGGTCACATCCATATGATGAGATATTATGCTGCCACTAAAAATTATTTTTCAGGGCTGGCCCGGTGGCGCACTGGAGAGTGCGCCGCTTGGGAGTGCGGTGGTGCTCCCGCCGAGGGTTCGGATCCCATGTGGAGACCGGTTCCCGCTCACTGGCTGAGCGTGGTGCGGGCACAACACCGAGGGTTGCGATCCCGTTACCGGTCAGTAAAAAAGACAAAAAAAAAAGGAAAAATTATTTTTCAAAGAATATTTTATGTCAGAGAAATGTTTACTGTACAATGTTAAATGGGAAAAAAAGATACAAAGCTATATATAGAATATGTTCCAAATTTCAAAAACATATATATATATATATATATATATATATATATATATATGTTTATATAACATACTGTATGTATGTATTATATTATTCTACTGTTTGGAGCCAGTCTGCTAGGGAACAAATTGGCTCTGCCAATTGCTAGCATTTTTGGACAAGAACTTAACCCCTTTACACCTGTTCTTTTACCCATAAAATGGGGATAATAATAGTACCTATATCATAGGCCTTTTTTGAAGATAAAATAAGTAAATATATGGTAAGCACTTAAAACAGTGCCTGGCAGTAGTAAGTGTTCAATAAATGTTGGCTTTTTTCCCAATAGGTATGAATGAACATTTTTTGAAACTGAAATGTGATCACCCTATACACTTTGCTTTGTGACCTGTTTTGTTTGTTTCACCTCACAATATATTCTGGGTACTTTTTGGTATTAGTACAGAGAAGTCTCTTTATTCTTTTTAGTAGCTACATAACATTTTATTGTGTTAATGTGCTGTAATTTATTTAGCCAGTCACTATCAATGGACATTTGGGTTATTTTACAAAAGGTGCTGCAATGAACATTCTTTACCTTTGCAAAGCATTCTTTATTTTTTTGTGGCTGGGTGGTATGGGGGACTTGCAAAGTATTCTTTAGGATAAATTTATAGAAGTGGAATTTCAAATTGAAAAAGCAATTTTTATTTAGAAGTAAATGTCAATTTATAAAACATCATAGTTGTAAAAATCTTCTATGAGATATACACTATTCCTTGACAACAAAGATAAACTAACTGGTTGAATAGGTAATCTGAGTATATTATACTTTACCTCAGAATTAAAAGAATTTTCATCAATCAGGTGGTAGGTTTGTTGGATTTTTTTCCTTTTTACACCAAGCCCATTGATTATCCCCTAAGAGAATTCACTCATTTATATTTATTTTTCCCTCTTATGTGTTCATGTATTCCCATGTTCTTCAAAGAAGAAAAGAAAGTGTGCAACTGGTGTGTGATTGGGCTCCCCTATAGGACCAGCACTTCCTTTTTTTTTGGCCGCTTGTCAATCTGAGCCCTTGACATTTGTGTTATAACACCACACTCTAACCAATTGAGCTAACCAGCCAGCCCACAGGACCAGCACTTTCTGAGGCCGTGAGCACTGGTGGCAGGTTGTGATTCCTGGGGGCAGGTTATGGCTCAGGTGCTTACCCAGGGGTATCCACTCAATGTAAAACCAGGGGGATAGCCTTGAGAAGGCATGGCCCAGCTGGGAAACTTCGCATGGGGAAAATGAAGAGTGAGGAGAAAAAGCAATCTAGAAAGAGAAGATAAAATACATAACTAAAAGGGCACAGTCAGGGAAATTGCATTCAACTACTAACATTCTCATTTGAAATTGGCTTATTCATTCAATAACATTTATGTTTTTTGAATGTGCTATGAAAGATGGTGGGCATACCAATTTGAATGACAGCTTTTGTCTTTATGCTTACTCTGTTAAAGGGAATTACAATAGAATGCAACAAGTACTTTGATGAAGAAAGTACTGGGTGCTCTGGGAGCATGTCAGAGGACCTTAACCTGGGTTTGGAGGTATCTGTCTGGTAAGGCTTCCTGAAGGGAGTGACGTTTAGGCTTAGTTCTTCCTGGAAAATGGGGGCAGGAGCAGAAATGGAGGAGAGGAGCACTGGATACAGAGAACATAGCACATGAAGAGATATAGAGAGAGTTATGTTTGAGAAATGGCCAGTGGGTCCATGTGGCCAGAGCATAGAATTTGAACAATGGGGTTGGCAGAGGTGGGAAATGGAAAGACTCGTGGCTGGAGAAGAAGGAATTGGTTGGGTACTAAAGGACCTTGCCTTAGTCAGTTTTCTGTTGCTTATAACAGAATACCTGAAACTAGGTAACTTACAAAGAAAAGAAATTTACAACAGTCCGGTTAGCTTACTTGGGAGAGTGTGGTGCTGGTAACACCAAGGTCTTATGGACCAGCTAACAAAAAACAAAACAAACAAATTTATGAGGGTACTTCAAAAAGTTCATGGAAAAATAGAATTAAAAGATAATACAAATCTTTCCATGAACTATTTGAAGTACCCTCATATTTGTTAAAGTTTTGGATACTGGGAAGTCTAAGGTTGAGGGGGAGCATCTAGTGAGGGCCTTCTGAGGCAGAGCAGGGCAGAGCAGGGCATCACATGGTGAAGGGGGCAAGAGCATGCTAATGTGCTTCTTCCTCTCATTATAAAGCCACCAATCTACTCTGTGATAACCCTTTAATCCATTAACCCATTAATTCATGGATGGATTATCCATTCATTAAGGCATAGCCCTCATGATCCAATCACCTCTTAAAGGCTGTATCTTTTAAATACCATAGTCAGTTACCTTTTTACTACTGTTACAATGTGCATTGAGTTTCAGTGTGAGTTTCAGAGGAGACAAATATTCAAACTGTAGCAGCCTTCATTCACATATTCAGCTTATCCTAAGAGTGATGGGAAACTATAAAATTTTTAAGCAGAGTATGACGAGATCAGACATCTGTTATAGAAAGATCACTCTGATATGAATACCCATTGAGA